GAGAGACGGGGGGGGGGGGTTGGAAAATCAGAGGTCAGTTGGTCTTTGTTTCCATGTTTAGGGCTGAGATTCTCTTGCAGCCTTTTGTTTACTGAGCTGCAACCATTCCCAAAGCCGGCCAGTATACATATATATATATATATATATATATATATATAGAGTAGTCTTCCGGTCAGGTATACCTGACCGGAGCCCCGTCCGGCCTCCTCCATTTGGGGGCCTTCCCGGTGGTATTTTTTGCTCAAATTTTTTGTGTAGGTTCCTCATCAAGTCTAGTTCATCCATACCAAATTTCAGCCAAAAATTCAATCGGGAAGGTCGTCAAATGATTTTTGCAAGTTAACTGGTCCGGAAAATACATATTCCGGACCAGTTAACTTGCAAAAATCATTTGACAACCTTCCCGATTGAATTTTTTTCTGAAATTTGGTATGGATGAACTAGACTTGATGAGGAACCTACACAAAAAATTTGAGCAAAAAATACCATCGGTAAGGCCCCCAAATGGAGGAGGCCGGACGGAGGGAGTGGTCCGGCCTGGCCGGACCTGAACTTTAGTGTATATATATATATATATATATATATATATATATATATAGGGAACTCTTCCGGTAAGGTATACCTTACCGGAGCCGCCGTGCGGCCTCTACGTTTTGAGGGCCTTCCCGGTGGAATTTTTCGATGAAATTTTTTGAGCATGTTCTTCATCAAGTCTAGTACATCCATACCAAATTTCAGCAAAAAATTCAATCGGTAAGGCAGTTAAATGATTTTTGGAAGATAACTGCACCCTTTATATACATATAAAACGCAGTTATCTTCCAAAAATCGTTTGGCTGCCTTCCCGATTGAACTTTTTGCTGAAATTTGGTATGAATGTACTAGACTTGATGAAGAACATGCTCAAAAAATTTCATCGAAAAATTCCACCGGGAAGGCCTTCAAAACGTGGAGGCCGCACGGCGGCTCCGGTAAGGTATACCTTACCAGAAAGATTTCCTATATATATATATATATATATATATATATATATGTATATATATACAGTGGCGGATCCAGGAAACGGAAGTGTTGGGGGCAGAACAAAGAGAGAAAATGTTAAGAGATCTAATATATATAGTTTTATTTAGGGATAAGGGTCAGTTTGGTCCTCGAAGTTGCAAAAAAGGAGTCAAATGAGTCATTATATAGAAGATTCTGTCTAGAAGTGTCATTTGAGATGGCTCCCGGTGGATTTTTTTGATGAAATTTTTTGATCATCTTATTCATTAAGTCTAGTTTACTCATATCAAATTTCAGATATAAATTCAATCGGGAAGACATTCAAATGAATTCTTGAAGATAATTGTGCCATTAAAAGCACAATTATCTTCAAGAATTCATTTGAATGTCTTCCCGTTTGATTTTTTTGCTGAAATTTGGTATGAGTAAACTAGACTTAATGAATAAGATGCTCAAAAAAATTTATCAAAAAACTCCACTAGGAACCACCTCAAATGGCACGTTCGGACAGAATCTTCCATATAAGGACTTATTTGACACCTTTATTGCAACTTCAAGGACCAAATCGACCCTTTACTCGTTTTATTTATGACAGTTCCAAATAGATCTTATTCCAATGTTGAAGATGGTGTTTTTCTCAAAAAAACTGTCCATAAAATCTGATAAAATAACTTAATTAGCTTATGGGAAATTACATTAAATATGGCTAAAAATGTTTGTATATTTTAAAATATGACTATCATGTTTTTAATAAAAACATGACAGTGTCATTAATGTCATTTTTTAGCAGTAGCAGAATTTAAACATGACAATGTTTTCCAAACTTGACGGTAATTATCCTATTTAGAGAGTAAAAAGTTGACAGTCCTATTTTGGAATTTCCAAACGATTTTAGTCCTATTTCGGGAATTTTCCCTTAAGTTTTTGATAACTAATGTTCTCTTTTGTCTCTTTATCAAGTGAATATTGATGAACTTTCAATATTTCTCCTCCTACTAATTTTAATAGTTTACCACAAATACACAATAACACGCGAAAACCCTAAATAAGACTAAATAGGACTAAAACAATGATATAATTCACAAACAAGACTATCATTATTGTATCCCAAAATATGACTCATTCAGTTCTGTTTTAGAAATTAAGCTGTAATCAACTTACTACCTTCATCCCATAATGGTTGTCTCATTTCAATTTGGCATGGTAATACTTTAACACATACGTAGTAAAAATTATACAAAAAATCAATAATCAATAATCAAATGCTTAAATTAATTACTCATCTACTACGTAGTTATTTAGTTAATACTCCGTACTTAATGGAGTTAAAAGAAAGAGAGAATTCCAGTTTTAGGAGTAAAACATATTAAACATGCAAAAGTAGGAGTCCTATCCAACATGTAGTTTATCATACGAAAATTAATAGTAAGGGACAAAAATGCCCTTAATGAATACTCCAACTTATTTATAACAAAGAATAATAAACTAATTAATGAATTACACAACAAGTCAAAACAACTTTGTTTTCCCTTCCCCAACTACAACTTGCCACCGGCAACACCCAGGGGTGCACCAGTATCCACCAACAGCCGCCCCTAACCGCCGCCGGACGCCGCCACCAGACGCCGCCGCCAAACTCCGCCGCCGGATGCCACCAATATCTGCCATCACTGGACACCGCCGGTCTCCACCGTTGTCAGACGCCGTCGGACGCCGCTGGTCTCTGATGTTGCCACCACCATCTTCGCCGCTGCCTTCTTCCAGGATCACCACCGGCCATCTCTTCATTCTCATCCCTGCTCTGTTTTCATCTTTTGATTTTTTATTTCAAACAATGATTTTATTTCATTTTTTCAGATATTACATTGAACAATAATATTTTATATCTGAAAATTTGAGATATGAAAATTCAGGGCTTCCATGGAGATATGAAACTGTTTGGGAATTGATTCCATGAAATTGCTATCCCTATTCATTTTAAATATGACAATGTCATAAGATCACTTTTGGTTCCATCATCTCAGATCTGGAAATTAAGAATGCTTTAGAATGACATCTCATCTCTTTAATGTCATCTTAATGGCATTCATATTAAAATAGAAGAGTTTTCATTGTCATTTTGACATTAAATGACATCATAAATAGTATACTTGCAAGTGCCATATATTGCCATAGTCATGGAAATAGTGTCATATCCAAGTGGCACAAATTGCGAAAATATCTCTTTTTATTTAAAAAATATGGCATTATGGACATGTTATTTGCAAACTTGGTGGAGTTATAAAAAAAGGCAATATGTATGGAATAATGTTTTTACATGAAAAAAACATGACATTATTAATATTTTATTTACAAAGGAGTAATATTTCAATCTTAATACCATAAAACACTTTAAAATGGCAATTATGGCAATTTCATATTCAAACCAAAAATAATTTGTACAAAAATATTGACTGAATTTAAAAGTAAAAATTATATTATATAATGTAAAATATAAATCAAAAGTCAATCTTTCAAAAAAGAAATGAAAAGAAGAAAACGAAGAAAAAAAACAGAAAACCAAATTAAAACTCAACCGAACTAAGTCAAAAAAGAAATTAAAAGTCAATCTTTCAATGGAAAGAGAAAACAAAAAATCAATACAAACTTAAAACAGATCGTCTAGGAAAGAAGAAAATTAAAGCAAAAAAAAAAATTCAATTGCTCCTAATCAAACAACAAGCCACCAGCTTCTCTATGAAAACATAAAGCTCCACCGCCGTTGAATTAATAGAAGAGAAGAAGAAGGGGAATTGAGTAGAAAAAGAGGAGGAGAGGAAGAAGAAGAATGAAAAGCAACAGATTAAAACTTACCTGTAAGGACTGCCATCGTCTGCCGATGGCCGGAGTTGGAGGAAAATACTTGCTGTGGGAGTCTTCGTAATCTGCCGCATGGAGATGGAGAGGTGAGAGAAATCAGATCTGAAAATGGATGAGGGAGAGGAGGGAGTTGAAAAGTGAAAAGGTAAGAGGTTGCGTACAAACGTGATAAAAAGTAAGATGACCAGATATAGTGAAGTAATTTTAAAAAGGGGTAAAATTGGCAAAAGATACGGACCAAATAAGTGATAGCTCCTATTTAGGGAAGCAATCAATAAGAACTCCTATTTTGGAATTTTATCTATGTTTTACTCCCTTTTAGGGTAATTATTATAAAAGAAAACGTGAGTAACCTGCACTATTGCTTTGCCGAGGAGCTGAAGTACAATTTAGAATGCGAGTTAATACTCATATTTAATGCACGATTTAGAATTCCCTGTTTTAGCTGTTAACGAAAGTTGAAGTCTATGAAGTAATTTTGCCATTGAGTTACGGAGTATTTTATTTTTAGAGCTGGGTGGATTAGATACATGGGGGCTGGGGGCATTTAGTTATTTTTATTGGGGGCAATTAAGTGGACTAAAATTTTTCCTAATATAATATATGGAGTTATGGAGAGTTTATTGGGGAGAGCTGCCCCCTTATCAATAGTGTGCATCCGCCCCTATATATATATATATAATGGTGGTGGAACACCTGCTAGCTTGTCCTACTCACAGCATCATATCTCATCTCAAAATAGGAATAGAATCATGACACTGGGAAGTACTGTATATATACCTTGCTAGCTAGCTAATAATATACGTACGTACGTACTCCCTTGTATCCTCATAATACGTACGTAGTATATATCATGCATCGACCTAAGAAATAATTTTGAAAAAGGATATTAATTAATTAAGGTGAATTTTATACCCTTTCCATCAAAGTGACTACTACGTACGTACACTAATTAATCATCAGTACGTAATTAACCAGGTTGATCGATATGTACATACGTGCGTAATACAAGTATATATGAATTGAAACCGAACGATTAAATAATTAAATACTATTGTAGTAATTAATTATATTAATTACTGATCAAATATGTATCTTCCATATACCAAATATGTATCTACATACGTACAGATGAGGGGATCGGACCGGAGTGGCCCGCCGCCGGCATATGTATGTATATGTGTGTATATATATACATAATTAATTAAGTGAGTGTATGTAAGGTGCTAGCTAGTACGTAGTATTCGATCAGGAATCCGCCGTGCTCATCCGCCAGAACCTTTTTTGCGGGACGAGTCCTTCTTTTTGCCGGAGTCTTTCTGCTTGTCGCCGGAGGAGTCACTCTTTTTGCCGGAGGAGTCCTTGCTGCCGCCGGAGAAGGGATTAGGACACCTATATAATTAGGAAAATGAGTGAAAATGGGTCAAATTAATAAAGAGTTAATGACTCAAATAGGACTAATAACAAAGTTAATTGCACAAATAGGACCAAAAATCATATGCATGTTTCGTAGGACTTAAAAGCCCCTATTTGTACATAAATGCCCCTAATAAGTTTTTATTTAGATTTCTAATTAAAATAAAAGTCCATGTCTCCAACTGCAGGTCATCATCATCTCCAACCGTAACAGTTCAACCACCCATGTCACATGCAGTCTCCGTCACCGCCGCCGCCTGCCGACGTCATCGCCACCACCTGCCACCGCCGTCACCGGTGCCACCTGCCGCTGCCGTCATCGGCGCCGAAAATATGGCATTATGTTGGAAGATTTGGCCTTGAAGATTACTTTCAAATCTGCCTTCAAAACAAATTTTCAGATTTGCCATAAAGAAGGCAGATTTATCTTGACGAATTTATACAAAACTGCCATAATCTTGGCAAAATATAAAGTCCACAACAAAATTTTCGGAAAACCAAAAATTTAATAGAACAATAACTTTAAATAATTCATCTCAATAAGAAATAAGAAGTGAATGTCAAAAAATTTAAAAATCGATTTACAGAGAGTGTTTTGCCATAATATGCTTGTCAAGTACATTTTTGCCAAAAACTTGGCAAAATCATACGCCATCATCCAAAAATCTGCCATAAACATGGCAAAATCGTCTTCCATCATTCAAAATCTAGAAAGTTGATTTTTTTAAAGAATCAAGAAATCAGGAAACGGAAAATTGAAATAGAAGTCCAAACATCAACAAATCAAATAATGTCAAAACTAAAAAAAAATAGAGGAATGAAGGAAAATTCAGAAAAATCAACTTTAAAGCCAAAAATTCGAATAGTTGGAGGAAGAGGAGGAGAAGGAAGAGGAAGAAGAAAAGAAAGAGGAAGAAGAAGAAACCTGGCCAGAAGAAGAAAGTGAAAAAACCTGAGAATTCGGAGATACATAAACAGAGCGATGGTGGAGGGCGAAGGCACCAAAGCGAAGGTAAGGGCAGCGACGCCGGCGGAGCGGCGGAGGCACCGTGTGGTGGAGTAGTCGACGTCGTGCGATGAAATCAGCAGATCTAAAGGGAGATGATGAGATGTGCTGGAATCGGCAGATTTGCTTTGAGGCTGGAGAAGTTATCGATCGATTGTGAATAAAATAGGAGAGAAAGAAGATTAAATGGGTGCAAGGGCAGATTTGGGATGGTAATTTTCGTAGGTTTAAGAATAGGAGCAAATTGGTCCTATTAAGGGAAGAAAACATAAAAGGTCCTATTTTTGCATTTCACTATTATTTTAGTCGTATATAGGACAATTACTAATTAATAAATTAAAAGATCGATGATGGGATTGTGTTATGAGCTGGACTGATCCACGTCAGCTACTGCCACTACAGGATAGGAAGCTATGCTTGCACACACGTAATCACCAAATTGGTAGTTAGCTTAACCGACTTAGAGCTATTTGGTTGAGGATTTGTTGAATTCAGTTTGTATAAATACTTGTACATGAACTCTTATACGGTGCGGAATGATTACTTCTAATCTCTTGTCTTCTCTTGAACCATGCCAGTATGTTCGAATTCTATTCTAAGGCCTAGAATTCCTACTTTCCATTTTAGTTCTTCGCAATTCTTGCCTAGACTATTACATTTGGTATCAGAGCACCACTTGAATTACAGATTCAACCACCAACGATCCTAACATCCTGAAGATCATCTGTAAATCCTGGCGAAGAAGGTGACTGTAGCATCTTTATCAGCTTTAATGGAGGACAAGGTGCAAGGATTGGAACGCCAGCTTGAAGAACAACATCTATTGAGTGAGAAGAAATTTGAGGAGACCAATCAGAAACTGGACGCCTTGTTATCACTTTTGCAGAAGAAGGGCATCGAAGACTATGAACCGCCCTCAACGCATATCACTTCTCCGGTAATCCCATCTGTACCTGGACACTCGCATTCATCCGCAGGTATTCATACTAAATTCTTTGGATTTTCTCCCAAGATTGAATTTCCGGGCTTCTCAGGAAACAATCCCAGACAATGGATACAAAAATGTGCTAAATACTTTGAATTGTGTGCAATTGAGAATAATCAGAAAGTAGATTTAGCCTCGTTATATCTGAGTGGGCGTGCTGAATCTTGGTTTGCCAGTTACATTTCTGTGCATAAAAGAGTTTCTTGGGAGCAATTTGTGATTGATATCTGTGCTAGGTTCAATGAAGAACTAGGGAGTACAGTTACTGAAGAATTTAATAAACTGCAACAGTTAAAATCTCTGGATGAATATCTGGACAGTTTTGAGCAGTTAAGAAGTTTAATGCTACAAAGAACCGAAAGGTTACCTGAAGAGTTTTTCCTAGATAGCTTTATTGGTGGACTAAATCCAACTATCAAACACTTTGTTAAAGCCTTCAAACCCAGGACATTGATGCAAGCAATGGAATATGCCAGACTACAGGAGAACCATTTAAATGCTCTTAAAATATGGGGAAAGGTGGAAGTGGACAAACCTATATATAGAACCCAAGAAAGAAATGGGGCATCTGTGTACAACAATAGTTCCAACAGAGGTTTGTTGCCTAATCCTACCCCCATGGCAAGAGAGAACAAGGGTTTACCTAACCCCAGGAGAAGGAATATGACTGCTGCAGACATTGAAGAAAGGAGGAGAAAAAATTTATGTTTCTATTGTGATGAAAGCTACTTCCCGAGACATAAGTGCAAGGCTCAAATGTATAAGATACAAATCCTACCCATTGAAAAGGAAGATGAAGAGTTTGGAATCAGGGAAGAAGAAGAAAACCTCTGGGATACTCAACCAAAAGAAGAATCAGTAGAACAAGCGTGGGCAGATTCTGAAGAATCTCCTTTGATCTCTCTGCATGCTATAGCAGGTCACCAACACTATCAGACCATGAGGGTCACTGGTAGAGTTAAGAACAATGATTTGTATATCTTAATTGATTCAGGAAGCACCCACAACTTCCTAGATTCCCACACTGCCAAGAAACTAGGATGTAGAATCTCTAAATCCATTCCTTTGGAGATATCTGTAGCTAATGGTGATAAATTGCTGACTGATCAGACCTGCAATGATTTCAGATGGAGTATACATGGACATGAATTTCAAACTAAGGTCATGCTAGTTCCTTTGGGTGGATGTGAAATGGTGCTTGGAATACAATGACTATCTTCACTGGGGCAGATCAAGTGGAATTTTAAGGACTTGATCATGGAATTTCAGTATCTCAACAAAAGGGTAGTGTTGAGAGGCAGCCAAAAAGGGAAGATGCAGTATATACAAGGAGAGCAGCTAGCTAAAGAGATCAGTAGAGCAAAAAACACCAACATGGGCCAACTCTATGTAATGCAGCAGGTAAATCAACAAGGGGAACAAAAGGAGCAGAAGAAGGTAGTCCTGGAAGAGTTTCAGGATGTGTTTGAAGAACCTAAACAGCTTCCACCTCCCAGAATATATGATCACCAAATCCACTTAAAACCAAGAACTGCGCCTATTAACGTCAGACCTTATAGGTACCCCATGATTCAGAAAGATGCAATTGAACAAATCACCCAGGATATGTTGAGTCAAGGTATCATTAGAGACAGTCAGAGCCCATATTCAGCTCCTGTAGTAATGATCAAGAAGAAAGACAACACTTGGAGATTCTGTGTAGATTACAGGGAACTTAACAAGCATACAATCAAGGATAAGTTTCCCATACCTGTCATTGATGAATTACTTGATGAATTGCATGGATCTCAAATCTTTTCTAAAATTGATTTGAGGAGTGGATACTGGCAGATAAGAATGAAAGAAGAAGACATAGAAAAAACAGCATTCAGAACTCACATGGGGCACTTTGAATTTGTGGTAATGTCTTTTGGACTAACCAACGCACCCTCCACATTTCAGAGCTTGATGAACCACATCTTCCAACCATACTTAAGAAAATTCATCCTAGTCTTCTTTGATGACATCCTTATTTACAGCCCTAATTTGGCCAATCATGCCCTCCATGTAAAACAGACTCTGGAGATATTAAGGCAGCACACTCTTTTTGCCAAGATGAGTAAATGCTCCTTTGGAGTATCTGAGGTTGACTATTTGGGACATATAATATCCAAGGAGGGAGTAACTACTGACCCCAAGAAAATTGAAGCCATGGGTAAATGGCATAGTCACAGGAATCTCAAGGAATTGAGAGGATTCCTTGGTCTCACAGGATATTATAGAAAATTCATCAGACATTATGGAATCATCAGCAAACCTCTCACCAATCTCTTGAAAAAGAATGCTTTTCAATGGGGTCTTGAACCTGAAGCAGCTTTCAATCAGTTGAAAGAGGCCATGACTCAAGCACCAGTACTGGCTCTTCCTGACTTCAACATTCCTTTTGTCATTGAGACTGATGCTTCGGATATTGGGATTGGTGCTGTACTTTCTCAGAATAAACATCCCATTGCTTTCTTGAGCAAAGCCTTGTCTGATAAACATAAAGCTTATTCTACTTATGAGAAGGAATTATGGGCAGTTGTTCTGGCAGTAGAAAAGTGGAGGGCATATCTCACTGGTCAACATTTCATCATCCAAACTGACCATTACAGTTTAAAATATTGGCTTGAGCAGAAGATTACTACTCCTTTCCAAAGCAAATGCTTACCCAAACCGATGGGGCTGGACTATGAGATTATCTACAGGAAGGGTAAAGAGAACAGGGCAGCAGATGCACTATCTAGAGTGACTAATAATGCACTCTTGAAGATGATGATTACTGAGATCAGTTCTGACTTGATGCAGAAGATAGAAAAGAGTTGGACCTTAGGGAATTTCCCTGAAATCATTAGCAAACTGAAGGAAGGAACTGGCAGCAAAGGAAAGTATCTATGGAAGGATGAAAAGTTGACAAGGAAGGGCAGAATTGTAGTGGGAGCAGATGAAGAACTAAGGAAAGAAATTGTAAAAGAAGTGCATGGATCTGCCATTGGGGGCCATTCAGGGATCCAAGCAACTTGTCACAGGCTAACAACATTTTTCTATTGGAAGAAAATGAAAAGGGATGTTAAAGAATGGGTATCTACTTGCAACACTTGCCAGAAAAACAAACCCCTTTTGCTTAAACCTGCAGGTTTATTACAACCTCTCCCTATTCCTGAAACTATTTGGAAGGACATATCAATGGATTTTATAGAGGGACTCCCTAAATCTCTGAATAAAGATACCATATTGGTAGTAGTTGACAGACTAAGCAAGTATGCACATTTCATCCTACTCAGCCATCCTTATCATGCTAGTACTGTGGCTAAAGAATACCTTGACAATATCTTCAAATTACATGGCCTACCTCAATCCATAGTAAGTGATAGAGACAAGGTATTCATCAGTAAATTCTGGCAGGAGTTGTTCAGAATGTTGAAGGTAGAATTAAAGCTATCCACAGCCTATCACCCTCAAACGGATGGACAGTCGGAGAGTGTTAACAAATGCCTAGAAACTTACTTACGATGCATGTCGGGAGAACATCCTAAGGAATGGGCAAAGTGGATTCCAATGGCAGAATGGTGGTATAACACCAACTTTCACTCATCTATAAACACTACTCCTTTTGAGGTAGTATATGGTCAGTCTCCAGCCAATCATTGTCCTTTTGCTTTGGGAAGGAGTCCAGTTGAAGCTGTGGATAGAACCCTCAGAGCACGAGAAGAATGTATCAAATTGCTAAAATTCCATATGAAAAGAGCTCAAGACCGCATGAAAAACCAAGCAGATCAACACAGAAGTGATAGGGATCTTCAGGTTGGAGAATGGGTTTACGTTAAGTTGCAGCCTTATAGGCAGCAATCTGTAGCAAAAAGGATGAATGTAAAGCTGGCACCTAGATTTTTTGGACCCTTTGAGGTTATAAAAAGAGTGGGGCAAGTGGCTTATAAATTGAAGTTACCTGAGGAAGCCAGAATTCATCCGGTATTTCATATTTCTCAGCTCAAAAAACATAGAGGTGACCTCCCTATTCAAATTAACATACCCCAGTTGGATGATCAAGGGGTTATGAGGGTTGAACCTTTGATGGTTTTGGAAAGGAAGATTGCACGCAAAGGAAACCAAGCTGCAGTATACTGGTTAATTCAATGG